AAAGCAAACAGTCCATAGAATGAGTACCAGTACAAAACACAAGAAAAACAAGGATCTTTACATTCAAATTAAAGAAACCAATAAGAATCAAGAACACCCAATTAAGTAAACAGTCCATAAAATGAATTATGAGCACAAAATGAAGAAAAAACAAGGATCTTTACAATCAATTTAAGGAAAACAATAAGAATCAAGAACACCCAATTAAGCAAACAGTGAATATAATGATTTATGAGTACAAAAATATGAAAAAGCAGGATCTTTACACACAAATCAAAGTAAACAACCAAAATCAAGAACACCCAATTAAGCAAACAGTCCATAAAATGAATTATGAGTACAAAAATATGAAAAAACAAGGATCTTTACATTCAAATTCAAGAAAACCAAACACCCTTTGAGCTTAGTAACAATAAGAGTGGCAAAAAACTCGAATAGCTTTGAGCTGGTTTCTGAAGTATAAGACTAGCTTGAGAAGGAGAAGCTGAAGCCATAAACAAATTTATAGTGAGTTAGAGGAGATTGAAGATTGAGATTATGGAGAGCAGGAGCGAAAGGCAAATTTTGTGGATGAGATTGGATTTGAGGAATTTTTTTCTTTTTCAATTGTTATTTAACAGGTTGAAAATCATAATAATGTAGAACATTAGGGTGGTCCTACATATAATTATTTTTTCTTTTCGAGTCTGAAATCTCTGTAATTTCGTATTTTAATTAATTTAAATTTAACTCATAATCAAAAAAAGAAATTATGTTAAACTTGAACTCGAGATATCTAATTGAGTCAACTGCCACATCTTGATGGTATAATCAAGAGGTTGCCACCTCAATAGGAAACATATTCAAAATTTTAATTTTATATATTTCAATTGAGAATTTTTACTATATTTAGTTTACTTAATTAAATTTGAAATTGGTGATTTTTATTTATTGTTGAAGTTTCATGTCAAGTGAAGATAGAAAATTAATTTTTTGATATAATTTTAAGCGATCCACATAATTTTCATTGTTGGATTAGACATAATATATTAATTCTTGTATTATTATCATATTTAAGTTCATCAATAAAATTTATGTAAATTGTCTCTTAGTACTTAACATATAATTATTTTATTTGTTTCTCTCACAACCTATAAACCTTTTAGATTATGATGTGAAAATTTTAATTCTAATTTTTTTTTAATAAGATAATAGTATTAACATAATTTAAAAGTTTATAAGTAATAACAAATATTAGACAATCAATGGTCTAATATATTGTTTATAAAATTTAATAGTATACGAGTAATAACTGTGTCAATAAAATTTTTGATCACTCGCTAATTTATATATACATTTTTTAAAATTATAAAAATTGAAGTTTTTTGACTTATATGTTTTGGTGTAATAAATACACTAGCGAACAACGTAGCCACATAAGTGAAGAATAACCGATTGAACATAGTATCCATTGAAAAATTATATGAAATATATACAAAAATATATGGTATATATACATCAAAAAATACTTTATGAATTAAACTAAACGCCTTTCATGAAATTTATGTTAATCGATAACAAACATATTCTAATACTGTAATCAACACTTCCTTGTATATTTTTTCCTTGTTGATTTTTCATTCTATGTTCAACGTCATATTATGATTCAATTAAATTCGAATTTACGTATAGTGTATCTATAATAAAGAACAAAGCTTCAAAAAGATTTTTTTTAGTGTCTATATTAAACTTGGACCATACTATATTAAACTTGGACCATGTGTCACCCAAAATTAAAGTGTCTATATTCTTTTAGTATATTGTTGCATAAATGATTCCACTTCTCATCTTTTGAGTTTCCTTAATTTAAAGAAATAAATTTTTATTTTTTTAAAAAAAAAGTTGAGCAAGGTCCTTTTTTTTTCTTTCGCTTTTTTTTTTTAAAAAAAATATTGTATTCAATCAAACTAGTTGAGTAAAGTTATTACTTGGGGGTCTTTCGGGTTGATTCGTGAAGGGTTCGATCAAGATTTGAAGTCCAAAAAAACACGAGTGTTACAACTAGCTTCAGATATTTGAGTAAAATTTATACAAAAACTTTAATTATTTAATTGTTCTTGAAATTTAATTTTGACGAAACATAATTAGATTCTAAAACGAATAGACTTATGAAAAATCATGAATTTTTGATTATGCTTTAAATAAGAATCCTCAAATTGGCTATTTGTGCAAATATGCACACATAAAGCTCTGGGCCCATTAAGATCCCTGGCCCTGGTGATAAGCCCATTACATATGAGGCCCATATCAATGATAAGACAAAATTAAAGGCCCATTTTGATGAAATTGACATATCTGGGCCTCATTGTTGATAAGACTTTTAAACTTTATTAAAGGCCCACTTTGTTCCCCACAAATTTCTTCTTATCCATTTTTTGTCAAAATCATTCCTCCACTTACACACTTCTCGAAAAAATCGCACGTCTTGTCTCGACTAATCTTTAATTTTTGCTCGTCAAATAAGCTAGCTTATAGTGAGATATTATATTACGAAAATAAAAATTTATAACGAGGGTATAAATTAAAGACCAATATAAATAAGGACAAAAGTGTAATAGTCACTTTTCGATCATATCTTTTAAAAAATAGTAATTGACATAAATTTCTTTTATGTAATTCAAAATTCTACAAACGATGGTTATAAATTAATTGTTTGTGAATTTTACTTGTCAAGTGAGTTAGAGACAAAATTCGAAAATGTCAATTTTTTTTGATGATTTCATCTATTATGATTGAGTTTCGAAAACTTCTGAATAGGTACCGTAATAGATTTTTTCTAGTTAAAAGTCATTTTCTAATAGCTCTAGAATAATTACAAAAATTCTATACATTGATTTCGATTCTAAGAACAACATGCTTGATCCCGCTTATATAAAATCCAAAATCCAATACATTTTAAAGAATAAATAGACACCAAGATTTAGTGGCTATCGAAACTTTATTTGAATTGTTACATCGACATAAACATGATATTAATTAATTTATGTCGTAATAAAAAGTATGAACATTTTAGGCTAATCAAATTGAAACTAAAACAAAGGCCAATTAAAGTTTAAATCAAAACGTATTGTGGGGGTTGAAAGTTGAAAGGCTAGTGCACGTTAGAATGTTGTTCATAAGCACATATATATGGAAGCAAAAAAATATCGATATGAGTCGCGATGAGATGACTGAGATCTCTCTAATTAAAATTATAAAGTCTTAAATTTGAATGTTTGGAAGTGATTTTTTCTTTGTTGTTGAAAGCGTTGTTCATAAGCACAAATGCAAGCAAAAAAATATCGATATGAGTCGTGATGAGATAACTGAGATCTCTCTAATTAAAATTATAAAGTCTTGAATTTGAATGTTTGGAAGTGATCTTTTCTTTGTTGTTGAAAGCGTTGTTCATAAGCACATATGCAAGCAAAAAAATATCGATATGAGTCATGATAAGATAACTGAGATTTCTCTAATTAAAATTATGTTTGGAAGTGATTTTTTCTTTGTTGTTCAAAGCATTGTTCATAAGCACATATGCAAGCAAAAAAATATAGATATGAGTCGTGACAAGATAATTGAGATCTCTCTAATTAAAATTATAAAGTTTCGAATTTGAATGTTTGGAAGTGATTTTTTCTTTGTTGTTGAAAGCGTTGTTCATAAGCACATATGCAACGCAAAAAAATATCGATATGAGTCGTGATAAGATGACTGAATCTTCCTAATTAAAATTATAAAGTCCTCGAATTTGAATGTTTGGAAGTGATTTTTTTTGTTGTTGAAAGCGTTTTCTTGAAAGATGAACCTTATAATGTATGAATTTAAATTTAATTAAGTCTGAATATAATTATCGAACAAAGTAATGTATTAATAGGAAAGAAAAACAGTTGGATTATATGTCCCATTTTAATGAGTGTTATAAATGGTGCAACACTCGAGTAAAAGACCCCTACCAAAAATAGCTTATGTTAGGTGTAGTAGATTTAGAAATAGGATTTTTACCCAAATAATTGACAAAATTATTGACAGTTTATTTTTCCTAATCGATATACATAGATTCTTGACTAAATATATATTAGACCTATATTATAAATTTGTTAATTTTTTTTTTAGTTTAAGTAATTGGGTGATCGATCTAGCAACTATTTAGATCAATTCATGATATTAAGTTATTTCAATGAAAGTATAGAATCAATAACGATATATTTTCAAGGCATATTCCACGTAAAGAAAAAGAAGAAGAGAGCTACGTTTGAGTTAAAGTCAGAGGTGTATGACATTTCATAGCTAATTAACTTGCAACAATAAATTTTATTCGTCGTTAATTTTTTTCTTTTTATGATAAAATTATTCTCACATATACAAGATATATGTATATTCTTGTAAATTTCCTTTTAGGTAGAGCCCAAAAATGAAAACATTGTTCCCCACTTTAGTATTATCATCCTTTTCTACCCTATTTTAAGATTTTCAAGTATATTATATGTTATATGTGCGTATACAAGTTGAACATTTGTCAAAAACCCTAGCATTCTTACCTATATATAACTTAAACCTCATATTTTTTTTCAAACACTATGTAAATGAACTAGAATAGCTACTCCCAACTACAAGTGTGGCGCGAGTATAATTACTCCTCCATTCTTATTAAAAGTTACGACTTTGAGTCAAGAATGAAATCATTATAGACAGAAAGCGTTTTACCTTCAAAGCAAGACTTTATAATATAATCTAAATTAATTGAGGCTCAAAACGAATATTGCGCGGATTAAAAAACAAAAGAAAACAAAGAAAGAGGATGAGGAAAAGGAGGGGTAAACAAAATGGCAAAAGGAAAGGGGAAAAGAGAGAGACTATTGATGAAAGATAGGGCACTTTTCTAAGTGAGCCCATGTGAACATCTCTAGAGAGATGTGACCTTACTATTATAAAGTTTATAAATTAGACAAGTTTTTCTCAAATTGTACCAAAAATAAGAGAAACTATACAATGGTTTTTACCTACTTTTTCCCCACTCTCTCCAATCCTCACTCTTAATACTCATTTGAATTCAATGAATATGTGAGATAATGATCAATGAAGTAAAGTAATAGTTATGGGAGATAGGAGTTCAAAATTACAATAGAGATGAGAAATATTAGTATATCTTTTTAGTTTACCTAGCAATAAGAGTTATTTGAGGTCTATTCAGATATATGAGATAGTATATATATTTTATAGAACATTAAATGCGTGCAAAATCACTATTATGAAAAATAACATCATGACTCGATTCTAAGCAAATTGAGTAAGATATGTGAATCTTTATGAATCATGTCATTTTATTTAAGTACTTCCAAGTTTCTTATATTTATTCGCTGACATTTAAATCTCTAGCAAGACTCAATATTATTAAAACCAAAAGACGTTCTTTTGTTAATCTCTTTCTAGGTGCTTTCATTCTTTATTTTTTTACTTTTTTAGGGACTCAAACTCATGACCTCACGCAGAGAGATGGGAAGTGGTTACCATTAGAGCAACCCTCTGGTCGATTCTTTAGTTAAGATTTACCTTAAAAATAAAAGCTACTCTAATTAAATAAACACCCCAAAATCAGCTTTATTAGTTCTCTAATTAAAAAAACTAAAGTTAATGAGCGTGTCCACATCTGCTAACTTAGATTCCATGGGTGTTTTAGTAATAAACCTTTGTTGTTTTTTTTCTCTATAACATGTCTATCATCATTCAATAAGTTGATGATCAGCAAAAAGGCAAAATCTTTTCTTACTTTTTAGTCCTTTTCTTTAATAATTGTTGGTTTGAATTTGTTTTCTTGCTTTCACTATAGTTTCACTAAAGAAAACTACCTGTCTCCATCTGTTTTTTTTTCCTCTCTGAACCAATTCTTCATTCAAAGCAAAGATCTTGAGGTGAAAGATTGGATTTTTATTTTGTGTCTTTAGTTTCTTGATTTTGGTTCAAATTGATGTAAAAATGAAATCTTTGAGGTGAAAGATTGGATTTTTATTGTGTCTTTTTAATTTCTTGATTTTTTGTTCAAATAGATATAAAGATTGGGTTTTTATTTTTGTGTCTTTTTAAGTTTTCTTGATTTTGGTTCAAATAGATGTAAAAAGATGAAATCTTTGAGGTGAAAGATTGGATTTTTACTTTTTGTTTCTTGATTTTGGTTCAAATAGATGTAAAGATGAAATCTTTAAGCTCAGTGGGACTTGCTTTAAGTGTGGTATTTGGTTGTCTTTTGTTAGCTCTTATTGCTGAGCTTTACTACTTGTTATGGTGGAAAAATAGGATTCTTAAAACAAATCTTGAAGATGGTTATAGCAATAGTAGCAAAGCAAGAGAGTTTTGTTTTATGTTTTGTGGTAAACCTTCAACAACTTCTCTGACTCCTCCCTCCAATGCTTTAAAATCCCAAGAAATTTGTTCATCTGATACACAATTAGTCCATGAACCAACACAACTTCAACTTGGGTCAAATGTGGATTCAAGTAGTGATTTTTGGTTCAAACCCTTTGGAGATGACACAATGGATGATGAGTTTATGGGACTTTGTGGACCACCAAGATTTTTATTTACTATCAAAGAGGAAACTAAAGAGGATTTAGAGTCTGAAGATGGTAAATCCAAGAGTAGAAAAGGATCAAGAACTAGAAGTTTGAGTGATTTATGTCTAAATGTTGAAACTCCTTTTTTAACACCACTTGCTTCACCTTCTTGTTTTACTCCACCTTTAAGCCCTATTGTTATGTCGAAAAATGGTTTTAGTTTCAACCCTTTTCTTGAATCAGCAAGTGATGCTGAGTTTAATAAGTTTATAAGGTCTAATTCTTCACCACCACCAACATTTCAATTCTTGAGAGATGCAGAAGACAAGTTTTGTAGAAGATTTGATCAAAATCTTGAAGTTTCATCAAGTTCAAAGCTGTCTAAAGATCATGAGGAGAATAGTGGACCATTCATTACACTCATTTTCCCTAAGAACAGAGAGGTACAACTTGATCAACATCATGTACAACACTCATCAAGCTCTTCACAAGTACTACCTTTAGCTTCTTCACCTCCAATCCAACAGGTGAACCAACAAGAGTAAAATTTTGTTTCATCCCCCCACCCCCAACCCCCACCAACCAACCCATCCATTTGATTGTACTAAAGAGAATGACTCACTTTTCTTTGTTTTATTAGTATATGAGTTTATTTTGCTTGCATCATCTTGGTGATTTAAGAGGTGAAGTTAATGACTAAAAGCCTAGTCATAGTGCAATATTAGTGGAATTTCTTGCATGATATCTATACAGAGTTACAAAGTGTTAGCATAACAAGTGATGAGTCATAATCTGATACTTAAAAGTTGACCATTTTTTTATTTGTATTTTAGACTATGAGTGAAGTTCTGTTATCATACTTGAATGAAGTTAAGTTAAAGGAAAGCTAATGAATAAAGCCAAGTCACAATACTCACAATGCAATGTTTTCTGAAATTTTCAAAGGGGGAACAACATTCTTTGCAGTCTGCTTCACTGCAAATAATGTCCAGATTCCACTATGCAAGTGGTTATTTGATGGAGGGTGGGGGGTTGGTTTGTTTCTATTCAATTTCAGTCAAAAATACACCTGTAATCATTCAAGGAGATAATGACAACACTACCAAAGAAAAAAAAATTGTTTTCATGTAATAAAAAGATCATGAATTCAAGTAGATAATGATAGAAATGCAAGAAAAAGTTGTGTATATGAAATTCAATGTGATCAGTTCCTTCACCGAATCGAGTTGTTACCATAATATGAACCCACATTGTTAGTTTCGATTGTTTAATCTTGAGCCGAGAGTATGTTGAAAACACTCTATACATCATAATTTATGAGTAAAATTTATGTATATTTTATTCTATTCAGATTCACTTGTAAAATTATACGGAGAATATTGTGGTTGTGGTTGAAATTTTCTTACTTTTCCATCTTTTTATGCATGCTCTTGAATCATAATGATCTTTCACTAATTTCTTTTCTTTAACACATGTATAATTTTCATTTGAAAATTGATTGACCCACCACTAAAGCACTTTCTTGATTTTTTTTGGGTTTATACATTTTCACTTTTTTTTAATAAAAAACTGAGACAAATAGATCAAGAAAAGCCTTCTTTTTTCACTTTTTAAATTTTCCCGTCTAATAAAAAACTTTAAAATGAAAATAAATACATTTTCCCCTTTAAATACTCACCAATTAACATCTGAAATATATTAATGAATTTGCATCAAATAAATTCATATGAAAAGAGTCTATTGTTAGAGTTCAAACTCAAAATCTAACAAAACATTCTTTATCAAAATAGTGTCCATTTTTTAAACTCAAATTCAACATCCCTACTTAATGATAAAAGGTGATAACTATGACCAGAAATGTTATGTCATTTTCAATAATCCCAATATATTTTGAATGTTTGATTTAGATAGATAATTATGATGTCCATAACCCTACTTCTTTTACGATCAAATACTAATTTTGATTTACTTTTTTCTATCATCAAGCCTGATCAATTCGATTCTTTTCTATCACATCTCTATATGGATTCATGTGTATCAGAATTTTGAATTAACAACTTGTCGTTTCTTTAAGTACTTTTCATTTTTAGTGAAATTATATAAAAGTTGGACCAAAGATAAAAGTACCAACTAAAACATAATGACAAAAGTAGGAGAGATGAAAATAATAAATTGTGGAGAGTGGTGAAAAATTGGCATTTTCTGTAAAGAACAAACATGTACACTTACCCGTGATTATATCTCGTGTCGCAGACCGAAAGGTAAAATTCACCTTAAAGAATCATTTGGTCCATTTGCCTTTACCAACCTTTTTCTTTATGTATATATTACTATATTATATAAGTACAAATGAAAATATTACTAAATAGAATCATCAAAATGAAAATGAAAGACACCTTGATTAAAATACAAAGTTGAGGTGGAATGAACAATAACCCCACATCCTTGATCAGAAGTCTAAAATTCATATCTCGAAAATGAAAAATACAAAGGATAAAAAGTGTATCCTCCTTTTCATGAGTTTTACATGTAAATGTGGACCCAAGATTTGAAGACGAGGAGGACTCTATCGAATCGAAAATTTTACTACACACATAGAACTAATGTATTGACTAGCTTATGAGTTAAATAACCTTACTTGATTGTGGATTGATGATTGTGAGTACACTTTACACCCATGAGGTCGTCTGTTGTGAACTTGTCACCACCGCTCCACGTAGTCTGGAGGGGGACCCACAACATACCTTGTATAATTCCACAAAGTAGGGTTCCACGATCCATGATTAATCCAAATCTTTTTTTGGATAACCAACAGATCCGCAAACCATGATTAATCAGAATCTTTTTTTTTTTTGATAACCAACAGATCCCCGAAAGCCAATTGTACAAGGTCGAAAACTTGATGGACAATGAGCCCACTTACTATTTTCCGCTTAAATACTAGGCTTTTGTTGGCAGGATCCGAACCCATGACATGCACTTAATCCACATATCACGTGTTACGCTCTTACCACTAGAAAAACCGATAATTAGATAGGCGACTACTTGTGACAAAGCCACTATCTCGGAGCAAAATGTCAAAAATGCTACAACAATTAAGCGATCACTTTCAAATGAACAAAACAAGGTGAAAATAAAGCTGTATCATCAATGCCAAAAAAAATCTTGAATCAAATATGCTATAATTTAATAATACACGGAAAAGACGAAAAGAAATAGATAAAAAGTATCAATTCTATCTCCAAGCAACTTAATTGTACCTGAGCCTTGCAAATCGTTGTGATCATGAGCGTGGAGCATGATTTATAGCAGCTGCACAGGTCCATTTGTTATACCCAGCTCAGTGCAGATCGATTTGAGGCCAGGTTCCTCTAACATACTAAATGCACAAAATCCATAGTAGGCATGGTAAAGATCTGGCAGCTGCTCCGGAGTCTTACCAAAACCACCATACTGTAGAACAACAACAAAAAAAAAGGTTTGAATTTTAGCTTGCTGAAAAAGGTCGGTGCTAATGTTCGAGCAATCATAGATGAGAAAAAAGAAAGAGGAGAAACCGCAGCACCTGGGATTGACAGGTGAAAAGAAATTTACGTAAGCCTTCATAGTCGATGAACTTGTGAGCCCCCAAGATCTTTAAAACTCCTCCCACCCTAATCAAGAATATCAACTTGTCAGGCCAGGAGAAATAAAAATGATATCTATTAGATAAAGCAATTCAAACTCACCAGAAAGCATAACAGGTGTCAGTAGCTTTGTTTAGTCTACCTTGGAATCCACCATCAGTGGCTGCCTGTCTCTGCAAGAAGCAACATTGCGTTACACCAAATGCAAGACATATGGACAATTTCTCCGTCAAAGGACCAGATTTAAGGATTAAATTTGACAAATAGTCATCGCTGCTGGAGATCTTTTTTCCTACTTCCTTACTTTGTTCTACATTACACTCTCTTTACTTTTTTTAATCTGATATCTTTGGAGGAATACTGAAAAACATATTTAGCAGAGCAATATAAGAAACCGTTCACACAGTATTCGATAAAATTTTACCTGTAGGCACCAGTCTAGAAGCAAGGGCACGTCTATGAAACAAGAGGATACATTCTTCGATAATATATCATCTTCAATTAATCCCATCAATCTGAGAGATGCAACAGCACAAAAAGTGGCACCACCTGTGATACTAAACAATCACCCTCTATGAGAACTATTATATTAATAGGCAAATGAATCATCTTTCACTCTACCACTTAAACTATTGACCCAAGTTGATAAAAGGAAATGATCAGAAAAGATAGATGATTTATAAGAAGTTCAAGATATTCAAAATATGTAATCCGATTGACAGGCTGCCCATAGAAGGAAACATTCAAAGATGCGCTTATCTATTTATCTTTTTTTTCTTTTTTCCTTTTTGACAAGCTGGATTAACTGATGTTTATCACATATCATCCTATTGAATGATACACATACTTCCCAGCAAATGGAAGGAGCCACTTAAGTGCTTTGCCTAATATCCTTTTAATTCTACCACCCATTTTAGATTTTTAAGATGAACTTTGCAATAGTTTATTTCTCACCAATCCACCCCCCCCCCCCCAACCCCCCCCCCAAAAAAAAAAGGAATAAATGAACTGTTTAGTAATAAAATTATCAAATTAAAAAATTCTAATATGAGACATCAAAAGAGTAGGACATCACTTGCATGAATGGTAAACACTAGGGATCAAACAAGATGCACCAATGGGTGTATTCACTCACCATGTGATTCTGAACTAGGAGTTAAACCAAAGCCACCATCGTATGACTGCATGAACCAGACAACAATATTTGAAATGAGAAGCATTACCAATAAATCAGTACAAAAGAAAACTCTAATGATATGAAATATCAAGTGATGAATCTATAACATTGACTCTTCTCATTAATAACCTAAGGAATGAGAGATTTATTTATCATAAGGGTGTCATTTATAATACTTAGACCGTTTCTAAGACCTTAAATCCTGAAAAGTTTCAAGAGGTTTTTCAGGTGGCAGCCTTAAATTGCAATTGAGAATGTACAAATATTGAACAAAATCTAAATTTCAAATGAAGGATGTGAATGCTCAAATGGTCTGTGGAAGTAAATAAATTCCCTAATACCAGTCCTGTCTATGACAGCTAGCGCACCTCCTCTATATAAAAATAAATACTTAACTGGGTTTGTTTACAACCAATAAACTAAACATATCAAAGATACAGAACAAGAAATTTAGCGAAAACAGATGCTCATATACCTGACAGTTTATTATGTACTCCTTGGCTTTCTCTTTGTCAATGCCACTCCAGTTTTCCAACATTGAAGAGATTGCCGCTGGTATGCAGATCAGCAAAATCAATTTTCATTCTAAAAGTATTTAAGTTCAATAAGCTCAATAGCAGAGTATCTTTATACCTGCACAATATACAAAGCGGAGGTCTGTCTCTGCCCCGCTATGAATGGGCATAAAGCTGCAAGTTGAAGAAAAAAAAGCAGTACTTAATAAAAAGAACCTAAATAGGAATAAATAAACACCCATATCTTCTGAGGTCATTCTTATGGCACACTCAGTTGCATGTAAAAGTTTTTCAATATGTTGTGGATAAGGAAATGAGGGTGGAAGAAATATGACAAACTAATTTCACAGTTGGGACATGTGTACAGGAGCTTTATCAGTATTTGTATGTAAAAGATGTGTCTAATGGTATAGCTCTCAAGACATATTGGCAGAATCAATGATGCATATAACAATCTGTATGTACTAGCTTTCCAACTGCAATTGTTTAATGTTTCTAAGGATGTCTAATCAGTTGACCAATTAAATCTAGCCCATTCCAGTAGGTCTAATCTATTGGATCTTATCATGCTTTCGTAGAAAATAAGCAAAGAAGATCATACTCCTAGAGTAGATAAGGGCCTGATTGTGGAAATTCTAGTAAACACAGCAATTTGAAAAAATGTTAATGTTGTGAGCTAAGAAAATGTTAACTCGGTACATAGATCTTGCAGCACACAGAGAAAGAAAGATACAAATTCGTCATCCAGTATGGTCAGTTGATGTGGCCTTGAGCAGTATGGGTGAAGGAGCCTGATGATGCCACATGTCCAAACTCTTAGCTTCAGGAGACAGGAATAAAGGGTAGAACTCTCAAGTATAGATTCTCTATCAAAAAGTAATTGGAAGAGAATGAGGAAATACGTTGGGCAGGTTAATTTTGCCAGCAATATTACTAATAAGGCCCAAACATACTTGAGTAACACTTGGTCCCTCTATTTCATTCACTCACCTTTTAGCCCATACTCCTAATTGATAACATTTTAGTGTTCTTGAAAAAATTAACCATTTAACAGTTGACAATCATGAACAGCTAAAAAATTATTGTAACTCATCGAACATGCCATGGTTCTAGCGAACAGAACAGTGCTCACCACATGATCCTTACAAGTTGAGATCCTGGTTAAGGGGAGCTTCAGTTTTAGAACTCACTTGTAGCATACAAAAGAAATGAAGCTTTCCCTGGTGAACTACAATGGTATAAATGGATAAGGGTTTAAGCATTAGTTGCAGTAGACCAGTAGATGCCATGGTTCTAGCTAACATAACAGTGCTTACCACATGATCCTTACAAGTTGAGGTCCTGGTTATGGGGAGCTTCAGTTTTAGAACAGTAGATGGTTCTGTCTGTCTTTCTGAAAATGCCAGACTTCTAGCTAGATCAATATGATGCTGCATAGACAACGCCTACCAGCTGAAATGTGCTGCTCTACTTTGTGAATGCTAATAACAGAAGTGGTGGTCTGTAAAGGTTAGAAAGGGGTATACCATTTTCCCGAGGTAGGACTTCCCAATAGTATTACCCCTATTTGTCTCATTCATTTTCTTTCAACATGCTTTGCTGGACAAAAGTTTACTAGTTACTGATATTAAGATAAGAAAATAATATCTCCAAATTGAGAACCAATGGGGTTGGTGCCTGGGTACAGAGTGCATTTACCATTCTACCTTCTACCATACGTGCTACGAGAGAGGAGGGGGGGGGGGAATGGCGTATAAAATCAAGAGTTTTTGAAGTTTAACAAAGAACTTCTTTGTTTTAATGAAGTAACAAAGAACAAAGAACTTTGTTAGAGACAAATTAAGGAGGCCATGTTAGATTCAGAAGCACTGATCAAAGAATTGAAAACAATAGAAAGGAAGGCCATAAAAAGTACCTCCCATCATGTTGCTGAAGATTTTTCATTGATTTGATGATTGACATGGAATCCATTAGTGTTAAATCATAACCAAGAGTCTTCAATATGGACAGTGCGCAGTAAGTACTTGCCAAATGACTGCAATTTGGGATCGCATTCTGTGTACAGACCATAAGACCAGTAAGTCCCAAGGAATAAGTTTTCTAGATCAGTTTTTTTATCCTCAACAACAATTAATAGTTAATAATAACCACATTCTTGTACCCCATAGTCATTTGGTTGAAACTGAGAACTTCTAGAACCATGGAACCCATAAAATTGTCCTGCACGAAACCAGAAGTCCCAATAAATTTCAAATGTTATCAACAGAAGGCCTGCTTGACTAATCAAAGTCGCTTCTCTACATTAACTGAACCATACCATTGCTCAGTTCAGCTTCGTCTTGCAGATGAGTTTGCAGTGACAAAACCCAATTAATCACCCCTTCTTTGTCAACCTGGAGTCAATAAAAATATCACTTTTGCTAGCCAGCTTTACTAAACATTAAACTTAGATCATTATTGCATTTTAGGCTTTTCCAGTTTGCAAACAGCTTCAAATTTGATTATGCTGCATTAAATTTTATTTTCGCACTATCTAAAAAGTAGGGTGTACTGCGCTGATTACTTATTCAAACACCAGCGTATATGGAAGTTTAGCACAGGGATTAACAATTCAAAAGTTAGTCAGTACGGGTGGATGACGAGATTAAAAGGTAAGCAACGACTCAAATTAATCCTGTCATCACATATAAAACCGATTCAACAAGAAAGAATAGGCATAAATCTGGTAGGATACTCTCTTCTCTCGTGTTCATCTTCTCTCGTGTTCATCTTCTCTCTTTCTCCAATTCTAGTTTCTCTATATCCTCACAATTTTCTCAATCAATCTCAATTGTGATCCACGGAAACTTCCTAAATCACTCACCTAACATCGGGTTCATCTTTTCAGGTATGGTGATGATTTCATTATTGTGATAGGAGTGAAGATTAGTCATATCTGGATTTTTTCTCATTTAGGTGTTTTTTATTGCTTTCATTGTGATTCGAGTCCTTGTCGGACTGCTTGGCTCATTTCTGATATAATTCTATTAGTGGTTAGCTCGATAATTCAATTTCATGCGATATTAATTGAATTTGGTTGAGTTATCTGAGTTTATTTTGTTTAGAACATTACATTTGGTATCTGAGCAACGACTTTGGCTATAAAAGCGTCATATAAACAGCACAGATGCAATATATAATATAACAATTGTGAAGCAAATACAGATATCAATTGTGATAAAAACAGTATTAACTACATATAGACAAAAATATAAATATTTTCACTTCTCTGAGAGCAGAGAAAACATTGTTGATATCTAATCGACGGTGAACTGAAAGGTCGGGAGAAATACGTACGCGATCGAGAGAGCGAAGGATATCGAGACCGCAGACGACGAAGTAAGCAAGAGTGAGACGATTGATCTCCTGCGATTGGTAAGGTGAAGGTAGTAGCTCAAGCATCATCTCTAAATAACAAATATGGCGATTTTTGTCGAAGAACATAGGGATAGAGATTGAATCTAGCTCAGATTCTAGATCGGATAAGCTCAGAAAATCACTATCTTCCTCCGCCATGGTAGGGACTAGTCGGAAAACGGCCGGCGGCGAGAAAATCCGGCGATTCGAAGTTTTCACTAATTTTGTTGTAATAAGGCATATGCACGCCCCTTCTACTTTTTTAAGTTTTTCCAAATTCCTTTTTTTTGGACTCTTATACCCCTCTTTGTTCAGTACCTTAATTGTTGTCCAACTAGGTTACCTCATAAGTTCCAGTCGATTTTATGTATTATCCGTTCGATTTATCAATTTTTAGATATGTTAATTCAATAACAAATAAATAAAATATTTCATATCGATTTTTGATTATTATCGATTCAATTTTCAATTTATCCTAAAATATTATATATTTTCTCACTTCTCTAAGAACTTTGATTTAGTAAAACAAGAAAGATAATAAGAAATTGCATCAATAAAAGAAAATATAGTATGAAGGCTATAATTACATACCATCGAAATATAGTATGAAATTTTTTATGTTGATCAAATTATGGATCTTTACAACTTGCATATGATACGACATACAATTACAAACTAAAACTAAAATAAAATAGTCCAACAAGACTAAAACTAAAACTAAAATCAAATAGCTATAATCGTAAATCGGTTACTTTAATCTTTAGGTTTTGAGTAAACAGTAAAAACTAGTAAAGCGGTCTAGTGTGAAGTTGGTAGAGTACTAATATTTGATATAATTACAGTGTCTAATTATGTATTAAATTATTAATATTTAATAATTAAAAAGGGTAACATAATAAATTATTACCGTCTTATTTAGTTATCGGTTTATCTAATAACGCAATAGTAAAATCGATACCCAAGCAAATATCACTGATTGGTGTTCCGTAGTTGCCATTCCAGTCGGTAGTTCTCATTTGTTATCAATTTCATATTATATTCATTTTTGACGTATTGAGTTTTTCCCTTCAGGTACCATTGTTGGCTGATTTTGGTGTTTTTCTATTGTAAATGTCTTCAATTGTATTTGTATTGTAATAATTTTGATTGAAGGAATGAAGACAAACTGTGTATTAGTCTCATTTGTTTTCTAATGTGTTCAACTGACTTAAAGTAAAACACAATTATTCTCGAACAGTTTTACTATCAGTTGGACTAATGAGTTCTGGAACAACATATGTAACCTCTATCAATATCCCTGGTACCACATCAGCTAACGGTGTTTAAAAAGAACAAATTATGGGTGATTCAGTGATTCAATAGGAAAATTACATAGTTGAGACATCTGAGGGTAAAACCCCAACAAATTTAGGGATCTGTGTATGTATTTGACCTTAATTTTTCATTGTCTGATGTGTAGCCTAGAATAACAATTTTTTTGCTGGGTAGAGATCATAAGATCAAATCCTAAGCCTTTGCAGTGGAAAGTTACCATGTCTGATACCTCTAAGGGTTTTAGCCTTGGTGGTTTGCTAGGAAGTGGGACTGCGAACCATTTTCAAGCTGAAAGCTTTCTCAATTTCAATGTCCTAGGAAAGAAGTGGAAGTTGCAACCAAGTCTAGTCTATATGGTCGATGAAGCCACTCAATTCCCTGCATTGATGTTCCGTATTAGTAGGTACTTGTGATGATCGATCGATTGAGCCACTCAGTTTCTTGCATTGATGTTCCGCACTAGTAGCTGCTTGTGATGATCGACGGAGCCACTCAGTTTCCTGCATTGATGTTCCGCACTAGTAGCTACTTGTGATGATCGATGGAGCCACTCAGTTTCCTGCATTGATGTTCCGCAGTTGTAGGTACTTGTGATGACCGATGGAGCCACTCAGTTTTCTGCATTGATGTTCCGTACAAGTAGCTACTTGTGATGATTGATGGAGCCACTCATTTTCATGCATTGATGTTCCGCAGTTATAGGTACTTGTGATGATAGATTGAGCCACTCGGGTTCCTGTATTGATGTTCCCTACTAGTAGCTACTTGTGACGATCAATAGAGCCACTGAGTTTCCTGCATTAATGTTCCGCACTAGTAGCTACTTGTGACGATCAATGGAGCCACTCAGTTTCCTGCATTGATGTTCCGCACTAATAGCTATTTGTGATGATCGATAGAACCTCATTTTCCTGCACTAATGTTCCACGCTAGTAGATCCTCGTGAAGTGTGCAAGCTAGTCCAGACACCACAGCTAGTCATAAACCTTAATTTTTATTTTTGGAACTAATAACTTTAGCTATCACCAAAAAGTATAGTAATGTATTACAACTTACATCTTGTGATGCAATTTGTCCTTACAAAAAGCCATAAATAAAAGTTTCGCTAAATATAAAGTGTTTTTATCAAATCATCAAAATTTATATAATTAAGTGATACAATCCAATTAAAATACATGTTAAATATAATAACTATAGCTAAGTGCTAAGTATTAATGTCCACACACAGTTCATGTCACTTTTCAATACATAATTAGCATAATTACGACAACAAATTTGCTTAAGTTCAATATTTTTGACGTGAAATATAGATTAATATAAAAATTCATTAAAGGTATATTACAACACATAGTAAATTTGAATACAATTTACAAATACGATACATTTAATATTTAAAACCTTATTTATTAAACTGATAAATTTTAAATTTTGAATTTACTTTGAACACCCACTAGTCCATCGATAGAATCAAATTAGTTTGGTTGTTAATTATTCTCTAATTAGAATTTAGATATTAATTATTTCTTCTTTTCTTATCATGCATGCAAGCATGCAAAAAGTTATAAAATCCATTAAACAACATTATCATGTCATTAACCTTCATAATTAACAAATAATTTGGAATCTTCATGAGAATCATCTCGATGTATTAATCACGTGAGGTTTATTTAGAGGAACATGTTTCAACAACCTAAAGTAGATCTAAGATTTTAAAGATGCATGTTCGATTTCGATATTAAATTGAAATTCGTACATTACATGATTAATTTCTAACGATGATAATTCTAACATTACTTTTTTCGTTCGTAGAAACTCGCATTCAACACCTCTAATTAAGAATGGAAAATCTCAACCATTCGATTACAACTCATATTGGAAATCCGCTAATATTCGTCGACATTTGTTACTCCTATAGAGTTAGCATATATGATTTAAGTTGAAAAAAAATAAATACACTATTTTTACTTATATCCTTCTTTTGATTGCATTTATTGTCATAAAAATAAAAATAATTTATATAAATCTTATTCTTCCTAGACTCTACTAAAATGCTACATTATTCGGCGCATTATTTTGTTACGAGTTCAATTAAATTCAATTTCTTTGACATATTTTTAATTTTTAAATTATTATTATTAATTTAAAAGTGAAATATATTTCATATTGAGATTTTAAAAGCAAATAATTACTATCCATAACTTCAATGATAGATCCACCCCTCAAACTAGTGGTGTCCCAATTATGTGACAGCAATATATTGCACAAATAATTGCATGTAAATAAATAAATAAATAAAAAAAAAGCTGCACAATTAAAGGTTATTGCCTTACTTTACAACTAATAAATAAAATAATGCATGGCATAGAAAATTGGGTCTACTTTTATTTTTTTGCATGAAAATGAGCTCAAAAGACATATATATTCCTTTTTTTTTAAAAAATAATTAATCAAAGGAATTAGATTCTTACTCCACCATTATTGATCTATTCTTTAATTATACACAATGTTAATACAAAATAACTGAGATTTTATGGCTTATTGAAGTGCATGAGTATAATTAAAGAACATAACTCATTTTATTTGATTAAATTAACTGAGAATTCGTGTGAACAAGAAATTTTAAATTTTGGACTGTGAAAGTATGCTTTATTATGGGTTAAGATATATAATTGAAATATATAACGCTTATTCAAGTAATTCAATTGAACAATGTGTTTAATTTTCGAAATTCAACATGTAATATATATAAACATAATAAACTAATTAACTTGCGTACACGCCCCCTATAAGGGTACGTGTTTCCGATAGTGTTTTGATGAAATGTTCGTTGAAAATTCACGTTTTTTTAACTAGTAAAAGAAGCATAGGAGACATGGAGAAAAGAAAGAAAGATACTTTTGACGGTGATATCCCACCAACGTTTGCCTTTTCCTTTTTAAAATCAAATGTTTATATAGTTTTCGATTTGATGTTCGATATCTATATTAAGTTTAATTTATTTAGGATTTGTGTATTATGTGTCGCATTTCTGGAGGGGGGTGCACTACTTTAATAAGATTATTTTCATTCCTAAGATTTGAACCTAATATCTTAGATTCTTTAATTTGTTTGAACATAAGCAATATTTTAGCTTGATCGATTTGTTCAGTTTCGTATCGTATCATGAAGAGCTACGTCTATTATGATCGAAAGTATAAGTGCATTCACGATCACATATTACCAAAAGAAACTTCTAGATACTTGACTCATAAAAGAATTAGTATAATTAAGTTATATATACATTATTAATTAGTTCAAGTTATCTTGGTCTATTTTAGCAATGTAATCTCTGTTATTTTTAATATTATAAAAACGACGCTATTTAGAAGGCATACTAATTATAAAAATCTTTTAAATGATTTAACAATAGTAATAATTACGTATATAACTAAAACTCTAAAAAAGAAATTATAGGACTCTTTTATGATTGAAATTACACATCATAAAATAATGTTAACTATATCCTTGTTCAAACCCTAATATTTACAAGCTAATTAATTAAGTAAAGCAAAATGAAAAGAAAAAGAAAATTAAATAAAGTCTATTCCTTTATATTTCTTCTCCTCTCTCTTTTGTTCTTTCTTATTTGCTTGACTTTCTTTCTTTAATTCTCTCATTTTATGTATATAGTGTGATATTCTCCACTATACATCAAACTTATACAAAAGAAAAAAGAAATATTTGGAGCACTACCTAGTACAATATTAATGGCTTTCTCATCTATTCCTTTCTATCAAGATCCTCCCAATTGGCATCATGAGGTAAATAAGAATTTGTTTTCATATATATTAGCTTCTTTATCACACACATAAAAAAAAAAACTAGTTATTTGGGGGAAAAGCTAGATGTTTCCATTTTCTTTAATTTTTCAAAATCTAAATTGAATATATACTATATAGTATATACCATATAATAGTATTTGATTTTTCTTCTCTCTTTGCAAAATTTGTAGCAAGGAAATCATCATCAACAACAACAACATCTCGGAATTACTAATGAGAACTCCTCTGAGCTCTCGCCAACTGTTTTGCCACCTCCAGGAGCAGCACCAGGAGGAGGTGGTGGTCCAGTTGGCTCAACTAGGTCTGGCTCGATAACAGAAAGAGCCAGGCTACCAAAGATAACTCAACCAGATGTGGCCTTAAAATGTCCACGTTGTGAGTCTACAAACACTAAGTTTTGTTACTTTAACAACTACAACCTTTCTCAACCTCGTCATTTTTGCAAGACTTGTCGGAGGTACTGGACTATAGGTGGCACTTTGAGGAACGTCCCCGTGGGAGGTGGATGTAGGAGGAACAACAAGAGATCAAGTAGTAAAAGATCAAGAAAATCCCCAATTAGAAGTGAAAGATCAAGAAATGTTCCAATTAGTACTTCTAATAGTACTAATACTATTACTACTCCTAGCCATTTTCCTCCTTCAAGTACACATTTGTCATTCTTTAATACCCCTTTTCATAATTTCAATAACTTCAATTCTACTCAAAATTGTTTAAATTTTGGAGAAATTCAACCTCATGAGGGTGATCCAACATTTGTTGACCAATTTAGACATCAACAAATGGAAAAATTTTCTTTCTTCTCCCCCTTAGAACAACCTAGTAATTTATATCCAATTTATAGTGAATTTAGGATTAATCATCATGATTTGGAAAATGTGAAGGTGGAAGAGAATAAAAGTAGTACTAATAGTACCCAAGGGATGAATTTACAAAGAAATAACAATTTGGGGGTTAATCAATTTTGGACAAATTATAATATTTCTAGTACTTCCACTAGCCAACTATTGTGATTTTCTTGATCTATCTTCAAGAGAAAACCCTATAAAGCTACTTGAGTAGTTCTTATTTTACTTTGGATAATGGTGACGTCCTGGCTAACTTTTGTACGCATTATGTCACATGTGTACCTACTGTCTCTAATCAGCACATACCATATTACTTTGCCTATCAAGACTTAAATGCAACAAACTTGTGCTTTTCGTTTAACTTATATACACGTTCCTACTTATTGGGTAACTCTGCTCATCCAAGCTTACGAGCAAGTATGACATTCACTTTGATTTGCTTCTACAGTATTCTCATCTAGATTGTATGTTTTCTCATTGTTTGGTTTTTTGAGTATTGTGTTTGAAAAATGTAGTATTATTGCATCATCTAACATGAAGTTGATGATTATGAGATGTAATCCAATGCAATTAGTGACTTTATTATATATTGACTTTAGATTAATTAGCTAAATGATCTCATTATTGTATATTAGTTTAGTGAAAGTAATAAATTCATTCGAACTCAAAAACTTACTTTAAATTCATGTAATTGTCTTAAAATTCTTCTGATTTAGTAGGCTAGAATAATAGTGTTACTTGTAATTATTTAATGGATATTCTAACACACGCATATATAAAAAATCAACTATTCATTATATTATTACATTTTCACTTTATATAGTTTGTTGAAAATAACGAATTTAATTGTATTAGATAGAACTCCTCCTAAATTTGTATCTATGCGTACTTAAATATATAATATAATCTCACAAGTAAAAATCAAAAAAAAATATAATATATACAAATCTTATTTATACCTCATAATCGGGGAATATATTTACTATTCATGTGGGACCGTAAGTGATAATTTCTTAGCCAAGCAGAGCAACAAATACTTAACTAACCGTCCAAACTTTGTTCATTAAATGCTACAAAGTCATCTAATTATTTTTTTAAAATTCGATGTTTAGTATTTATATTAATATTTGATTAACTTACATTTGAATTGAAATATAACTTATTTGAGAGAAATTTCTTATATATATCAAAGCTCAAAATTAAAATCTCGGATTAAAAAAAAATTATCTGATCCATTACATCAAGTCTTTTTCTGTTTCCATCTAAAAATAATAATTTGTCATTCTCTTGTTATATACTATAACTACTTTTTTGTTGTACTTGTTAATTAATTCAATTTTTTAGTAATTTCACTGAATATTCATAAATTATCTGATGTAAAAGTAAATTTTTAGATCGAAATATTTATAGACTAATCTGTCATTTTTATAATATATATATAATATAATGTAATAAAGTGTTGGCTAAGTTAATTAATTCAAATTTTCAGTAATTTCACTAAAACATTCATAAATTATCTGATGTGAAAGTAAATCTTTAGATCGAAATATAAATATGTCGTTCTCTTTAAGAAGATTCAAGCCGTGACAAATCTACACCGATCCAACAGTGTCACTCTTGACTTGTCCCCCCTCAGGCTACAACAATCCTACAATGTCTATAACTCAAACAACTCCATATTAATTGAAGAGTCCAAAACTTCATAATAAAAAAAAATACCTTCCTTCAATATCAAATTAGAAACAAAGCAATAAACCTTTATTTATGTTTCTTTGAAACCAAAGTTATCAAATAATTGAACATCATTGATTCTATACTAATATCAATAAAAATAAAATAGATAATTCTAAATCAATATAAAAACATAAAAAAAAATTCAAATGCAAGTGAATTTGAAATTAAGTTTCTAGTTTGAAAAAAGAAAAGAAAGTGTCTGAGATTTCCAATCATATGATTATACATTTTTCTACAACATTATGTTATCTAATTTTCAATACTCTTGTTCATTAATATTGCACTTTTAAATAACAGTATTTATGGAAAAAATCAAATTAAATAAATAAACGAATCAAAAAATATAAGATAAATTAATTAAGCGATTCAACAAAAATCACACATAAACATGCCCAATAAAATTGATCTTGTATGTTAGAAGATTGAGGATAGTGTTGCAAACATCCAAGACTATATCATAATTCCATTTATCTTTAGAGCTATGAGATCGAGAATATGTAGATAGCTATCAGTCACGATAAATTCAAAAGTATAATTATTCTCGTATAGTTTGGAATCCTTTCCCATAGTTACTACAACACATTCCAAACCAAATCCAAAAACTTTTCATACCTTGACAAAAATTATTTATTTATTTTGAAACATAATAATATTAGTAATAAAATCACCACTAATTTTACGAAAATCATTAAAAAGTAATTTAAGACAAAAACCGAATTTTGAGCAAACGTTCACATGATCATCTAAGATGATTTACTTTTACAAACCGAAAATCGAAAAATCGAACTAATAGCGCATAAAATCGAATCGAACCGACAGATACGCCCTTACCCCCTAATTTGGGCCTATTTGTTCAGTCAAACCGGCCCAAAATTTTACTTCTAAATCCGAGTAGCCCACCGTACCCGACCCAATTCCAATTCACAATACAATCAGCGTACAACAGATTTTGCCCTTCTTCCTCGCGAAACCCATCGGAATTCGCATTGTGGTGGTGGAAACTGCCTCGTCGTCGTCCCGGAACATTGACCGGAAAAGGTTATCGTTCTTTCCTGTACTTGCTTTAGTCTTGTTCTAGTTTTATCACTTTTAGGAGACTTAATTCTATGAAGATGTAGCTTCGTTATCGATTTTAGCTTTCCAAGTGTATTAATTCCTCTTATTAGTTTGGATCCTTGCTTGTAATTTCCCCAATTAAAGGATTCGATTGGCTTAAGAATGTGTATTTTCGTTTACTTGAGGATATGACTTTGTGGAAGCAGTTTGTTTAAGGGGTTTTACTGTATTGATAGCCATCTGGACCCATGAATTTGGGGTAAATATTTGTATAACCTTAATTGGGCATCGTTACAGTGATCGGCTTAAAATTAATTGATTCGAATGAGTTTATGAGTATGTTCACCTTTTCGTAAAATAGCAAGTTTGTGTTAATCTGATACCATGATTAATAGTCATGAAATTTGCTTGCTTTAGTTGGTTATTATCTTCAGCTTAATCTTGTAGATTAGTTGGTTATCAGAGATAAATTGAATTGCATTCTCGAAATCTACTCTAACATGCTTTTCGTCCTTGTTTGGGAAACAACGGGAAGTTGAAACATTTTTTTTAGTACATTATCATATTTTATCTAGCATGCACCTTTAGTTGATTGTTTAATAGTCACTTTTGGGGCATTAGATGGTGTAGTGTTCACTGACTCTTTTGAATTTCATCGTGGTTCATTCTTGTTATTGCCATCATAAGCTTCACTTTCATTATTTGAAGTTAGTGAGTGAATTTTATGACTGATCCTTCTCATCCTTTTCATTTGTTTTTATACACATTTATGTCTTTTGTCTTGGTTAATTCAAGTTGTTAGATAATAACTTCATTTGTATTATTTTAGTTTCTTTTGCCAATTTATTACTTGTTCCATGTCATTCTTCCTTAGCTAATTTATTTTCCTTTCTATCTTTATGTTTGACACTAAGGAAACTCTGCCCGATTTTCTGTAGATTTATGGTAAGGCTTGCTTTGTGATTCTTTCCCCTTAGTGCCGGTCACGATCTAATTCGGGTCATGACATGTTGTTTCTTGTTTAAATTCAGAAACTTGTTTGATCTAAAGCCTCAATATTATGCCTGTTGCCGGTTGTCACTCTAATTTTTACTGTTTTAGTTTTCTGCTGACTTGTAACTACTGGTTGCCTTTCCTAAAATCTGCTCATTCTCTTCTTTTGTGTGATGTCTTGGCCTTCTGTTGAGTTGTGGTGATTTTTTCAGGTAATTGTTAAGAAGTCCATCGATTTGAACTTCCCAAATTCAAATGGGGAAAAATGATTTCTTGACCCCTAAGGCAATTGCCAACCGAATAAAAGCAAAGGGCCTGCAGAAGCTGCGATGGTACTGCCAAATGTGCCAAAAGCAATGTCGAGATGAAAATGGATTCAAGTGCCACTGCATGAGTGAGTCTCATCAACGTCAAATGGAAATCTTTGGTCAGAACCCTAATCGCATTGTCGGTGGCTATTCCGAGGAATTTGAGAGCTTATTTCTTGAGCATATGAAGCGTAGTCACCGCTTTAGTCGTATTGCTGCAACTGTTGTGTACAATGAGTATATCGCTGATCGCCACCATGTCCATATGAATTCCACTCAATGGGCAACATTAACTGAGTTTGTGAAGTACTTGGGAAAAACAGGAAAGTGTAAAGTTGAAGACACACCGAAAGGTTGGTTTATTACCTATATTGATCGAGACTCCGAGACTCTCTTCAAAGAAAAAATGAAAAACAAAAGAATTAGGTCCGACCTAGCAGATGAAGAGAAGCAGGAAAGGGAGATTAAGAAGCAAAGAGAGCGTGCTGAGCAGTTGATGGGTGCAGGAAATATGGATGGTATGGAAAATATGGATGGTTCTGTAGAGTTGCATCCGGTGCTCATGGAGAAATTGGAGACTGAGCAGAAGATCAAGTTAACGTTAGGCTCGACATCAAAATCTGTTGTGAAAGAGAGAGCAGGAAGCTCAAAATCCGTGTTTGATGAGATAGATAATGAGAAGAGAGAAAAAGGTAAGGACAGTGGTAAGAATGGTAAACGTGAAAATTGCCCTGTGTTGGATGAGATAATGAGAGAGGAAGAGGAACAAAAGGAGCGGAGTAATAGGAAAGATTACTGGTTATGCTCAGGGATAGTTGTGAAGGTAATGAGCAAGGCTTTGGCTGAAAAGGGTTACTATAAGCAAAAGGGTATTGTTCGCAAGGTTATTGATAAGTATGTTGGGGAGATTGAAATGATTGAAACTAAGCATGTTCTACGGGTTGATCAGGAAGAGCTTGAGACTGTCATTCCCCAAATTGGTGGTCTTGTGAGGATCGTTAATGGTGCATATCGTTCATCAAATGCTAGACTATTAGCAGTTGATACAAAGAACTTCAGTGCTAGAGTACAAATTGAGAAGGGAATATATGACGGTAAGGTTATCAAGGCCATTGATTACGAAGATATATCAAAAATTGCTGAATGAAGAGGAATAAAAAGGATGTCAAAGGAACTTGTATTGTTCAAGAACTTCTTCTTGCTAATGCTGGATTCTTCGTAGTTGTTGGTTGTCTCTAGTTTTTCGTTACTTCTTCTTGATGTTTTCGTTTTGGTAAGTAATCAATCAAGTGTTTGTGATGTTACCATGCTCTTATGTTGTTGATGATCTTTGTATTTTTGGGAACAATAATGATCTAAGTTAAGAAGAAGCTGTTTATCATTTCTTCAATATTCACTGGAATTATTAAGTGATGGATGTACTTTCTCAGTAGATGTTTGATTTTATTGAGAACTAAAAGTGAGATTTGTAGTTTCAATGGTAAATCTGTAGATTGTTTATATTGGAATCAAAAGTTCAATCAAGTGAGTATATGCATCTTTACCCATATTTTGTAAATATACAGAGATTGTTTTTGATAGTCCTTCGTTTCAGTGTTAATAAGCTTGAGATTTCCTATGTATGACCCAATATAATATACGTAAATCTTATCCTTACATCACATAGAGTCTATTTTCAATGGACTTTCATCTTGAGATGCTTATATCAAAACTAAAAGTTCAACCTAATGCAACAACAACAATGTACAAACACTTTACCTTTACTTCGTTAGAGATAACACAACTCCAAACACCAATAATATATCAAGTGAAATTTTACTTAGCGGAATTTGAGAAGGGTTAATATATGTAGATCTTGACACTACTTCGTGGATTCAATCCAAGGAGGGGCGTAAAATACACGAAAACAACACCATACACCAACAACCTATCCAACTAAGCGAGATCTAAGCAGAATTGAGTATATGTAGACCTTAACAGTACTTCGTGGATCCAATAAGAGGAGGGATAGGATACACAACGACCAAACCACTACTTATAGAGATAGAGAAGCTGTTTTCAAAAGACTCTCGACTTAAGTGTCTGTTTCTAAAAGACCCTCCGACTTATATACATTAGCTCACATACATAGTATTGTGAAAAAATTAAATTAAAATAATCTCGTATTTTATCCCGAAACCGTCAAGACATGGACTTGTAGGATATTTTCCGGGTCATGGGCCTAGTGATGTGGACCCTCATCACAATGAACAGTAGTATGGGTGATTCATAATTTGAACATTGATTTTGAAGGAGATGGTAGTTCATCAAACATAAAATTGGTTCGTTCAGCTACTTTCTACCCAACTACTATACCGCCATTAATTGCTTGCTATTACTACTTATCTAGAACCGTCAAAGATCTCACATTCGTCATCATTTCTCAGAAAAATTGTTGTTTTTCGTAGATCCCAAAGTTTGGGGAGCGAAAATGAAGGTTTTAGTGGTTACACGTAGCGGCAAAGAACTCATCAAGGGTGGACTTGAACTCAATGAGTCGGTATGTTTACTCATCTGGGTTTGTTTTTGTTTAGTGAAATATAGCTTCGTTGATGGTTAATTTTGATATTGTCAAAGATTTGTCTTTTGAAAATTTATGTTTTATTGGTTTGGGTTATGTAGTTTCTCATCTGGGTTTGTTTTTGTTTAGTGAAATTCAGCTTGATTGATGCTTTACATGAATGTGTATTTTAAGTAGATTTGTGTAAGAAATGAAGCATATAGATGTGTAGTTTATATGTTTTATTGGTTTGTTTATGTAATTCTGCTTCTAGTTGTTGTAGTCACTGATTCTGTATGTATCGACATCTTTCCTCGTTTGGGTTTGTTTTTGTTTTGTAAAATAACAGCTTGCTTGATGCTTAAATTTTCCTACATGATTGTGGTCCATTTGTTAAAAATGATGTATAAAGATGCCTTATTTTATGTTTTATTGGTTTGTTTATGTAATTCTGCTTCTTGTTGTTGTAGTCACTGATTCTGTATGTATCGACATCTTTCCTCGTTTGGGTTTGTTTTTGTTTTGTAAAAAAACAGCTTGCTTGATGCTTAAATTTTCCTACATGATTGTGGTCCATTTGTTAAAAATGATGTATAAAGATGCCTTATTTTATGTTTTATTGGTTTGTTTATGTAATTCTGCTTATTATTGTTTTTGTTGTTGTTGTCATCATTTCAGGCTACAGTTGCTGATCTGCAGGAGGCAATTCATAAACGAAGTAAGTGGGCTATTGTATTTTTTCTATTGCTATGTGATATTGTCTTTATTATTCTGAGTGATTTCAAAGATTAAACCTTTTTAAGGGTAATCAGTTGACTGTGTTATTGTGTATGGAAATGGTAACTTTGTTCGTAATCTTTTCTTTTTTAATAACTGTGTATCTGGACTACTATACCGGTAGTTATTATCTCTCACTAGCACAGGCATCGGCTAACTCTCCCCACAAAGGTGTAGGCGTATATGGAGAAATCACCTAGTGTTTTTTTGTCTTTGATGTGCTAAATCGTAACATAGGTTTGCAAGTTCATACTTCATGCATCTTTCAAAGAAAACAGAAGATCTGTCCCTTGAAAAGTTCCGTGATAGTGAAGTCATTTGTTTTGCTCTGATGTACTAGTTAAAGGCTTGCCATTAGCTGGAGGAAAATATCATCATATCATCCTTGAGGCATTTGACTAATGAAAAGGCAGAGTAGTTTTAGGGGGAAGGGAGTAATAGCTTTACCATGCTTATTACTTAAACTTGATTTGTGCGAAGTAAATGTGCCTGGTAATTTTAATGTTCTACTGATTAGGCATTTCATGGATTAATAAATCTATGGTTTCAATTTTTTAGTTGTGATTCTACTCTCTGAATGCTTAATATGATTCAACGGCTCCATCAAAAATAAGAATTTTATCTATTTTTGTGTTTATATCTTTGTTTTGTACTCAAATATAGAGTGGTTTTGGAGATTTAAAGCAAGTTGATATGATGCCCATGTTTTTATGTCCTTTTTCCAATTCTCTACCTCTTGACCTTGGTTGATTCATTTGTTCTATCTTTTGTTAGCTGCAATATCAGGAGATATAGTGTATGAGAACATGTATGTATGTATGTGTGTTTGTTTGCTCCTATTCTGTACATGCATGTGAGCATTAATCAAGTCACAAAAATGTTTTCTTGCTTTCATTTAGTTCCTACCAGTCTACCACTGGGCAGAAGTTCATCACCTTGGATTGAGACAAATAACATGTATTTTTGATAAGTGAGGCTAACATATTTTGAGGATATAATACTAACATATATTAGAAAGATGTACTCTCTTGATATAAAATGATAATTAGAAGGATGTAATCCCATTGTTACAGAGGGGGTATTAAAAATATTGAAAATATAATCATCAATTTACATAGAGTTCATTGTTTGATTTTTAGTAAGAGGAAGACATCTTGGAATGAAACCACTGTGCTTATTGATAGGTTTTTCTTACTTCCATTCATCTCCGGACGCTAGTTAGGATATATTCACCACTTTGGAATGGACTTGTAACATGTATAAGAATTATGTATTTCCTTTATCCCTAGATGAATATTTGATGACACGAATTAAGCTTTGACAAACTTTTTTCGTTTTCGTTGTGCATTCTAAATAGTATGATATAATAGCAATTTGAAAATATAGTCATCATTATAAAATGGGTTTTCATTGTTCAAGTATCATTATCAAAATTTAGAACTAATTGATACTGATTTCAGTTCAGTTTTGAAAAGCTGACCTAAAAACGTTTTAAGTTGTGCGACTAAAATGGCATGAAGGGGTAAAGTTTCATGCAGTCAAGTATTAGAACTAAGATGTGGCATAAAAGATTAAAAGGGAAGAAGCACCATTTGACTTCATTTAAACAATTGATACTTGCTCAATTAGATTGTATTGATTAATGATGGCTGATCTGATAACAACTGTAATGCATCTGAACAGTTTTTGCATAAACTCAATTGAAGAAGATATAGTCCAGTTAGGGGGATCATAAGTTGTGTAAAAAGTGACGATGCTTTTCTAAACTGAATCACTTCAATGTAGTTGGTACTTGATACACTTGACACGTGGTTAAAGAGTTTATGTTAATCACTTCAATGATGTTATGGTGCATTTATTGCTTTGAAGTGATCATGTACAGATTTGGTTTTTTAGTGAATGCTGGGGTGATGAATTACGTACATGCAAGGTTTTAGTTCCATGTCAACATGTCATTCCCAGTTGTGCAGATTACTGTTGAGCAATTTCTTTATTGAATCCTTTAATCTTTCTACATTTGTGCTTGACATTGTTATGGGATCGTATGAGGTATAAAATATTAAACATTAGTGATTAGTATGTTGCATTCCATGCGGTTTGAATTTGAATGCAAAGGGGCAAGGATCAATCCATTATACAAGCTGTGAATTGTTATCGTCTTTTGTTGATGCCAGTTTCTTATTTCCAGAAGTTACATTATTATGAGTTTGACCTTCATTAAATATTGTTTACTTCTGATCTCAACAGCCAGAAAATACTATCCTTCTAGACAACGACTCACTCTACCTATTCAACCTGGTTCAAAAGAGAGGCCAACTGTTCTTCACTACCAGAAGAGCCTAAATGAGTATACTAAAGGTAGCACAAGCGAATTGACTGTAGTTTTCAAGGATCTAGGTCCACAAGTCAAGTATAGTACTCTTTTCTTCTTTGAATATCTGGGGCCTCTGCTACTCTATCCTATCTTTTACTACTTCCCAGTCTACAAGTTTTTTGGTTACAAAGAAGAGCGTGTTATCCACCCTGTCCAGACTTATGCCTTGTATTACTGGTGTTTCCACTACTTCAAGCGGATCATGGAGACCTTCTTTGTGCACCGTTTCAGCCACGCCACTTCTCCAATTTCCAATGTTTTCCGGAACTGTGCCTATTATTGGTCTTTTGGAGCTTTCATTGCTTACTTCGTGAATCATCCTCTTTATACTCCTGTTAGTGATCTCCAGATGAAGATTGGATTTGGATTTGGGATAGTTTGTCAAGTGGCAAACTTGTATTGTCATTTATTGTTGAGAAATCTTCGAAGTCCCAGTGGTAATGGAGGTTACCAAATACCCCGTGGCTTCTTGTTCAATATTGTCACCTGTGCAAATTACACAACAGAGATCTACCAGTGGTTGGGCTTCAACATTGCTACTCAGACTGTTGCTGGCTATATCTTCATGATTGTTGCTGCTAGCATTATGACTAACTGGGCTCTTGGAAAGCATCGTCGTCTGAAGAAGGTAAACTATTGTTTGTTTGGCCACATTCTTCCTAAAAAAAGGAACAAAGAAGGTTTTTACTAATATAACCACAGCCTAAATTCCTTAGGATTTACACGCATCGTATGATTAAAATCTAAATTGATGCTTCTCACCAGTCCTCTTTCATCAGTAGACTTCAAATTGGATGCATGTGATTCTATTTCAAACAGATATTATCTATTCTATTCTATCAGCTTCTTTTTGCTGATGCACTTCTCTTCACTGGGGAAAAAAGGTCAACCAAAAAAAATACAAACTCATTCTTCCCAAAGCATATTGAATTTATCACCTAGAGAACTTAGATATATGAAACACGGTTATTCTATTCCGAATGCTCTGTACCATTTCCTTATTGTCACAGTAGACAGTTCAGACTTAACATGGTCCATTTTAGTGAGAATCTAACCATACGCATGACTACAACAGCTACGATGCTATCGTGAATAAGTTTTGTTTTTTTCTTTTAAGTCAACTTATAAGCTAACAGAACTCCTATCTAGCAATATTATATTCTATCTATAAGCACATTTTTTTGTGCTTGTCGGGAAGCTTCTATCTTAATGTGTCATTACTTCTGGTTCTTAACTTTGTCGCCTTTTCTTTGCAGCTCTTTGATGGAAAGGAAGGAAGACCAAAGTATCCTCGACGATGGGTGATATTGCCTCCTTTCCTGTAGACCATTTCCTCGACGATGTGAGAAAAAGCCCAAGACTTATTTATTTAGTTGATCATTTTCTATGAACCTGCAAACTTTTGAAGGTTTATGTTTCTCACTAAAGGAAGCAATACTCAGATTTTTCTTTTGTATTACTGTTCCATGTCTTGCCTCTTTTTAATACCAAATGATCTGACTTCCATGATATTTTGTAGTTCCCACTTCTTTGTGATGGCTTCAAGAACCATCTTTGTTTAATCTATTGTTTATGAGTTATGAAAGTGATCCTTATAATATATACCAGTCTGCAAGAAACTCACATGCATCATACAGGCTGAGCCGCAGAGGCGATTTAGCCTATCTAAGTTCAACTGAACTCAGTATTGTCTATACAGAACATAGATATGTGTGAAGAAATCCTCAATTCTCCATTTTATACCCATAATCTTAGAAGCATAAGAGTGTTGTCTAGAGAAATTTGCAGGTTGAATCCATCACGTTTAAATCGATTTAGCTCTATAGATGGCATAAAATGTTACAGTGCCATTTATCTTTGTTATCCTACTGTAAAGATCCATATAATAATGGATCTAGATGGTAAAACAAAGGATGACAATTCTGTGACATTGAAGTCTTGGTAGATAGAGTTATCCCGCTACCTGTGTTGGTGAGATGATCAGAGTCATCTGATACTTGTGTTGGTTGGAGGTAGCAGGTATACCATTGAACCAGTTGGTCCAGACACCGCGATTATGTATAAATCTAGTAGTACAAGAGAATGAGCATAGAGGTTCAACTTGTTTGATATTGAACTCCAACCCAAAAGTGTTGGATTGACATGTGCTCAAGTGTGCAACTACTGTATTAAAATGCTTTAATCATAAGAAGAGAAAAAAAAAAAAAGGCAACTATCTTTTAAGACAATTACACATGGTTTTCGCATCTTTAGAAGTCTTTACAAAAAGCTTGAATGGCTATATGGAGTATGACCCCCCACACTCTACTTTTCTTTTACTAGGAGGGGCCTTTGCTATAGATCCTCCTTGCTTGTAGAAATATCCGACTCTCGAATCAGTTTGTGTGTACTTGAACTATTTTTTCTAGCTATCGAGTAACTTTATCTGCGAGTGTTAATACAGACGTTGAGTTTGTGTGCATTCAATGGTGCAACTTAATAATTAATGAAGCAGGTTGTGAACCATGAGCTCTCGAGTTCAAATTTCAGCGAAGGATTAAGTGATTTTAGTACTTATACAAATAAGAAGTAGTAGAAATTCGATGAAATTAGTTAAGAAGTTCGAAAACCGACCGAAATGTTATGTAAAAATAATTTGGTCCAGAATCTTGGTGCTGGCCCCCACTTTTTGTTAAATAACTTTCCAACTATGAGTCTATTGACTTGTGTACTTAATAAAATGAAATCAAATTTTATAGACACTAAGAAGATTTTCAAGATCCATTATCCTTTTTTTTATGATATTAAATTGAGATTTGATAATGATTAGAAATTTAAAATCAATTATTTAACTATTAACTCTTGATTAACTTCGACATTTGAATGGATTAATTTTGTTAATAACGTATTGTACATTAAAAAAAGATAATGTATGTATAAATTATTTTGTTAACCAAGTACAATAATAATAATAATATATTCTGTATAATTTCTTACTGAGATCCGAAAGTATAGCACGTACACAACCTTATTCCTGTCTAATGATTGTAGATAAACTATTTCCGAATAACCTGTCTCGAGTAAAATATAATAAAAAATAAAAAAAATAACCTTTTTTTTTCTTTTTAAAAAGCAAATAAAAAAGAGAGAAAAAGCGAAATAAGTGGGGCCAGTAGGGACCACTTAACGAAACAAAATGATAACCTTTCACGATGTATCATTAATGTCCGTTCGATCAATTCTGTTATTTAATCCAACGGTTGATATTTATTCTCCATTTTCAATATAACCCCTTCAATTTTTCTCCTATTTTCTCCAATAAGGAATACACACAAAAAAAAATAAAAGAAGAAAAAAAAAGAAAAAACTCTCTCTAATTCCAAATCTCTCAAAGGTACATTTTTTTTTTGTTATATTTCATGTTTCAATCTATTAATTTGTTGTGTTGTAAAATTGGATCTAAGATTTTGAGTTTTGCGAGTTCTAGTATTATATGTATGAATATGTTGTTGGTGCGAGGTGATAGGTATTCCTGGAATAATCTAAGTGTCTATCGCGATTTATAAAATGTATATGTAGGTGCACATGTTTCAAATCGAATTATGTAGACATAGTCTTACCTTTTATTTCTACGAGATTTGTTTTCGACGATTTGACTATGACCTCCTGATTACGTGACAACAAAATTCGAGAACTTTTTTTTCATGTGTTTAATTTGCATCTGATTTATGTGAATCATGAGTTGTGTAAAGTATGTAATTTGATGAATATAACTTATATTTGATTGATTTGTTGTTAGTAAATTTTAGGGGATTTTGATATTTCATAATTTATTTTAGGTGAATTGCTATTTAGAAATGTTGATTATAGGTTAAGAAATGGATATTAATTATTGTAACTCAACGGCAAAATCTAGTTCATGAGGTGAGGATTGGTACGACCATATTAGGAGATCAATGTGGGAATTCGAGCACCCTGCACACCCGAGCCTGTCAATTATATATCGCGTAGACAACATCATAGATAAACCAAGCACTAGGATGAGCCTGACATTGATACCATGTTAAGAAATGGAGTTTTGACCTAATTCAACCTCGGAAGTTAAGTTCATGAGGCGTAGATTGGCTAAAGCTATATAAGGAGACCAGTTTCCCATCCTACAACCGATGTGGAACTTCTAACGTTAATGCCTTTGAAGCTGTGTTTTTTTACTAAAGATTCAGTTTTTTCGATATAGGAAGTAAGATAAGATGGCAGAAGGCGAGGATATTCAACCACTCGTTTGTGATAATGGAACAGGAATGGTTAAGGTAAGCTGAAAATTGTGTATATATATCGAACAGAGTTAATGCTGCAGCGTGTTTTTTCATCCTATGTTGCTCGGACTCTTCAGGATGTTTGTTGTATCTGTTTCGGATCCTCCAAGAATGCACTACTTTTGGAGGATCCGATATGCTGCACCTGTCCACATATTTTGAAGAGTTCGGGCAACATAGGTTTGATGATACTTAGACTCTGATGTTGTTTTTTTTATCTAGGCTGGGTTTGCGGGAGATGATGCTCCACGAGCTGTTTTTCCTAGTATTGTTGGTCGTCCCCGTCATACTGGTGTGATGGTTGGTATGGGTCAAAAAGATGCTTATGTAGGAGATGAAGCTCAATCAAAGAGAGGTATCTTAACGTTGAAGTACCCGATTGAGCATGGTATTGTTAGCAATTGGGATGATATGGAGAAGATATGGCATCATACTTTCTATAACGAGCTTCGTGTTGCACCAGAGGAGCATCCTGTCCTACTAACTGAAGCACCTCTTAATCCGAAAGCTAATCGTGAAAAAATGACACAGATTATGTTTGAGACTTTTAATACTCCAGCTATGTATGTTGCTATACAAGCTGTTCTTTCGCTGTATGCCAGTGGTCGTACCACCGGTAAGCAAATCTTCATTCATCAGCATATTTATTTTTCGACTGTCAAAGTTCAATTCTCATGTTTCTACCATGAAAAGGAACTTTTATTTATGTCTGATGCATGGTGAATACTTTCGGAAATAGCCTCGAGGCAGGGGTAAGGTATGTGTTACACTCTGCCCTATGGGATTACACTGGGTACCTTGTTGTTGTAGTTGTGACGCATGGTGAATACGATTATTTGATTTGTGAAAAAAGAAGTCTACATCTGATGTATTCAGTTCAACCGATGCACGTAATGTACAGTTTGTCATTTCTATTATCTCATACGTGACTCTAGGATAGGACGTTGAATTAGTATTTCGTTAACTTGTTGTGAAGAGTTCTGACGATTGTCGCTAATTCATAATGTTTTTATAACAGGTATTGTGTTGGACTCTGGTGATGGTGTCAGCCACACTGTCCCAATTTACGAGGGATATGCCCTCCCACATGCCATTCTTCGTCTTGACTTGGCAGGTCGTGACCTGACTGACCATTTGATGAAGATCCTCACCGAGCGTGGTTACTCATTCACCACCTCAGCTGAGCGAGAAATTGTCAGGGACGTGAAAGAAAAACTCTCTTACATCGCCTTAGACTTTGAACAAGAACTCGAGACTTCAAAGACCAGCTCTTCCGTTGAGAAGAGCTATGAGCTTCCCGATGGTCAAGTCATTACCATCGGTGCTGAACGATTCCGTTGCCCTGAGGTCCTATTCCAACCTTCAATGATCGGAATGGAAGCTGCTGGAATCCACGAAACTACATACAACTCGATCATGAAGTGTGACGTTGATATCAGAAAGGACCTCTACGGTAACATTGTCCTCAGTGGTGGTACTACCATGTTCCCCGGTATTGCCGATAGAATGAGCAAAGAACTTACCGCGTTGGCTCCGAGCAGCATGAAGATTAAGGTTGTTGCACCACCAGAAAGGAAATATAGTGTCTGGATTGGAGGTTCTATTTTGGCTTCCCTCAGTACCTTCCAGCAGGTTTGCATCTTATCTTTGTTTTGTCACGTTTCCCTTTAGTTTGACTATTTTTCAAAGCTAAGCCAAATTAGATCACTTCAATACTATAAGTTGGTTACAATTTGACTCTCGAGAAGCAAAATATGACAAGTAAAAATGAACAGAAGGAGTATTATGATAACATGAGTCGAGCTTAAGTGAAAGAACATGAACATGGTTAGTGAGGATTCATATCAGGACGACTCCGAGTTATTTAGCTCTGTCTCTAGTTGTAAGGTTCATACAGTTTCTGATGGAGTTTTATATTTTGTCTGTAGATGTGGATTGCAAAGGCGGAGTACGATGAATCAGGTCCGTCCATCGTCCACAGAAAATGCTTCTGAGTTTCCAAAAACAACAACATTGATAAGAGGAATGCAGCTTGTGATATTGTATTCTGTGTTTGTTTTTCTGTATTTTTGTTAATGTTTTCATTTTCTATTGAAAACCTTGAGAGGGCAAAGAGTTTTGATTGTTTGATGAACTTAATTCTTTTATATTTATTCAATTAGTAAAAAGTTTCATTTGTTTCGTATTACTTGTTCACTTTACTTTACAGAGAAGTTTGTCGTACTCTCACTTCTTTAACGTATACTAGCTGGTCTACAAAGGTATGAACGCTTGAGTTGATCGTGAATGTAGACATCAGGACAGGATTTGTCATAAAGTTGAGATTATTTCGTTTCTCCTAAACTAGAAGAGTATTATTGATATTTACTCGTTTTTTTACCCTACTTTAGGATCTCCCACCCTTTTTGCTCCTTTGCTGACTCGAGCCCATAACCTTAGGTCTAGAGGTGATATGTAGTTCAAGGTGACGTTGAAGATCGAAAAATTAAGGATAACTGAAGAATATAAAGAAAAGGAAAAATAAATTGTCCTCAAAGCCGTCTGATGCATTAAGCTTACATCGTCAGATTGGGGACCACACCACCTAATATCTTGGAACATATATACTCTTCCAGCGTAGGATGAAAATTATCATGTAGGATGTCACATAAGACATGTATATCTATTTGTTTAATTTTATACAAGTTTAAGTGTATACTTGTGCACACCCAAACTTGCAGGACATAAATGTGAGTTGCAATCAGATTTCCGACACAAACACTGGTATATATATATATTATAATCACTGAATATGAGTTTCAACTTAGAATTTGATCAACAACAAAGGTAATAGCAATATTAACTAAAGAGATAATACAGAGTATAAAAGTAATCAGATGGGGAAGAGATACTAGAACCGAGAATTATTCTCATATTTATGCATACCTTTGACAATCTCTCTATCTGCACAAGATAGTAATAATTATATGTACATACATATCACCAGACCCCACTTGTAGGATTATATTGTTCGTGATTGGCTCCATAATGAGGTTACTTTCAACAATTGGAAGGTTTCTATTTGTTTTTTTCTTCATTGTTTCTGGTTTGATAAGGTCTCATCTTTTGATGATCTTTTTCAAATTCAAATTTCAGTTTTGATATTTTAATTAAACGTAATATTTCTGTCAATTGTTGTGGTAGATTGAACGAATTTAACACGAATAAGGAAGTTATTGGGAATGAATATATTGCGAAGATGTCTTGTCCATCGTAATGTTAGTTTTAAATACGATGTTTGTTCTGATTGTTACGTACATACACTCTCTGTCTCACTTGTTTTTACGTTTTGTTTCTTTCACATTTGCTATTTTTGTTTATAATTAAGGCATTTGGTGGCTGTCTACTAATATTTAACCATATCGAACAATCTATTATTGATATTTTTCTCACATGAATCTGATTTCCGAGAAAATCTAATGAATATTCGTTGCAGGGGATTTATTTGCTATTGGAAATTCCAATTTTCTGTGGTTTTTATCACTATAAAGTCATAGAAACAGAATTCATGTTTCTTTTCCAAGACTTTGTACAGAATCTGACATTATTTGGGGTCAAAATGTGAAGTCTCTTCTACGATTTAAATGTGTATCAAAATCTTGGGATATAACATGGGATCCTTACTTTAGGATGAACCATCAAAGTCGTCATGAGGTCAATTCACAAAGATTTCTTCTTCTCCATGAGGATTTTTGATATGTATACAAGCTGAAATAGATGAATAGTGCACTCATTTAAATGACTTCTTTGTTGAAAAATAGATCATAATTAAATATTATCTGAACCTGCAAAATTGAACTAAATATGGTAAAGTAGGTAAAATTTATAATGAGTTATATTTTGAAAAACATGTTAAAGTATATATGATATTTTTTATAAACGATGTTCTTGTGGTGTGCTTCACTTTGTTATTTTGATTACAAATTTCAAACTGTTAGATCATTTATCCACTTATAATTTTGTGATTAGGAAACATTAATAAACATATATCATCAACAAATTAAATATGAACATTCATTTATCCACGTTTTAAAAATAATTTCAGCAAATTTAAGACATAAAAAATTAAAATTTCAGACAACTTCAAGTTAAGCAAAGAGTCAAACTAATGAATAGACATGACAAATAAGAGGATCAAAAGTCAATCTCTATCAATTCGATGTAAGAATGTTTGCTTTAGTTTGAACTCATAAATATAAATATAAAATATTGATAAAGAATAAACCTAAGCTCATAAAAGTTTATATAAATATGAAGAGGAAAGACTCAAAACAGTCCTTCGTCTTTCGATTAAGACTCAAAGTGATCCTTGAGTTTTCACATGGTGCATTAATAGTTCCTCATGTTTGCAATATTGATGCACTTTTGATCCTCCCATAAAATTTTGTCTATTTTTTAACATTAATTTTGTATTAAAAGTGATAAAAAAATATTATTGCTATAAATGATAAATATTTTCTTAATATAGTATATTTATCTAAGTTGTTAATCATTCAAATGGAATAGATAAGATAATTTATTGTAAATGAAGTCAGGTAACTGAGGAATATTAATAATTATTTATTTTGGAGGTGAAAAGCCTTAAACTATGAAAAATATTTCTGACGAACGAATCTCGTACGATTCTCAAGAAATTCTTCGATTTCTTTTGAAAACAGATAATTAATCATTTGCTTCTCACGTTTCGTGAATAGCTGGGACATTGAGGAATATCCAGAAAGGATTTCAGGAATCAATCTGATTCTATCTCTTTTCGTTCCGTTTGAAGAAAGGAAGGATCCCAAAGAATCGATCTTTCTTTTCATTGTTCCAATGAAAAGAAGAACCTATGATTAGCTTTTCGTAAAATCTCCAAACGAAATCTTTCAATTTCTTATTTTACTATGTTCAACTCTATGTATTCCTCTATTCGTAGAGTACATTAAATGTACAGAAATGACTATAATAGAAACTTCCGAAACTTCTTCGTAGTGGCTCCCTTACATGCCTCATTTCAGAGAGAACCTCAAAGTGGCTCTTTTCAACTAACAACTTAAAAGTTAAAAGTTATTCCCATCGAATAGTATATAATAACAATAATAATAAAAAAAATTAAAGTGACACAAACAATGTAATTAATTTAATGCAAAGCAAAAAAAACAAAGCTCAGTTTGTTAGGGAATTATGTAAACACACACTATATAATTAATACAATGCAAAGCAAAACATTAAAGTGCAATTGTTAGACTTCATATCTCACTACTATGTAATTAAAATATTAATATTTAATAAATTAATTAATTTTATTTTAATTTAGTGGAGGAATAGAATAGTAATATTGAGAAAGAGAGGAGAAAAATTATTAATAATAATAAATATCATTAAATTATCGTTAATTAGAATCTAAGGAATTTTAAAAGCAAAAAGTTAAAGGTGAGTTGTTAGTCTTCGTATTGCACCACTATGTAATTAAAATATATATAGAGAGAAATATTATAAAAATGTTAGTAATATAAGGGTATATATAATAACAAATAAAAAAAAGAAATCAATGGATCCATTTTCAAAATATGATTTTTATATTGACTCGATTAAACTAATTTTTATAATTAATGGAATCATATGAGAATATCATATCATGATTTGAGATATTTTAATATAAAAATTGATTCACGAGTTTATATTTGTTGAAACAATCGAATATTTATATCGATCTACTTACCATTTATTTCACATGTAAATAAAATATATAATCACATCATTATGTTTTAAAATTTATTCTTCTCACCAATATATAGTGACTTTAATTCACACTTCACATTTTTACTCAAATATATTGATAAAATAATTACTTAAGTGGAGAACAAATTACTTTGTAATAATTTATCATGCCATTTTTTAATATATTTTGTTTATTTGATAAGATTGAATAAGCAATTGGGCTATTTTAATATTTTTAGAACTTATATAATTTTTATGTTTATGAGAAAATATACATATCAAAATTCTATATCGCATGTCCAAACAAAAGTTTAATTTTCATCTCATGATTTCATATCATGATACCATACCATAATACAATATTCTCAAGTTTTATTACTTTTCGTGAATATATTCATAAAAATATATATTTATTTGACTTTTGATCCTCTTCTTTGTCATGCCTATTCATTAGTTTGAGTCTTTGCTTAACTTTGAAGTTGTGTGAAGCTTTAATATATTTTCTATGCCTTAAATTTGCTGAAATTATTAAGAAAAGGTGGATAAATGAAAGAAAAAGAATGAATATTCATATTTAATTTGTTAATGATTTATATTTACTAATGTTTCCTAATCACAAAATTATAAGTGGATAAATAACGTGGAAAATATTTTAACAGTTGAAATTTACAATCAAAACAACAAAGCATAAGAACATCGTTTATAAAAGAATATTATATATACTTAGCATCTTAAATCAAAATAAAATTAGTTAATTACTAAATTGTGACAACAATACTACTATTTTAACAAAAGTATTCTCCCCAACAACCTTAAAAGTCGAAGAAAAGCGAAGCGTGATTATATTGTCCTTCGTGGTAGCAAGGGAAAGACAACAATACTAATATTTTAATTATGTAGTGATGAAATATGAAACTCTACTTTAATTTTTTTGCTTTTAGTCTTCGTTGGATTCACATTGAGAGCGGCTTAAGTATATTAATAGTGGCCTAAAGCAAAAGTCAAACGGACATTTCTAGTTTTCAATTGATAATACAAGCATTCTTATTTTAAATTATTATATACTATTTAAATCATTTTTTACTTTAAGTTGTTAGTTGAAAAGAATATATTTTTCATAATTTAAGGCTTTTCACCACCAAATTCCATTAAAATGCTATAAAACCATGCAACTTCATTCCACACTCCACATTGTTGTCATGGATCAAGAAATACCATTGTTTGTTGTTTTGTATTTTCTATTTTATGTTTTAGTTTATCAAACAACACACTACTTTTTTCCTCAACCCCTCCATTTCTTAGAATTTTTTCTGAGTCATAATGTTCAAAACATCATTACACCTATTTTACTGTTGAATCCTCCTCTTTTGATGGTATTATGTGCCTACCATTTTGAAGTTTTACTACGGAAAGCCGTACGCTTTTTGATATCGGGGGAAAGTAGATTCATATTTGATTGCATTTCTACTGGGTTTCAAGTGGGTCGATACATGTTTTACGAAGACGATTTATCCGTAGTTGTCTTCATCTCAAACCTATTTTCCATCTTCATCATCTTTTTATACCAATTTATTGATGATATATATAGGACGAGAGGCAAGATGATGGTGAAGAAAATCGTCAAGAGATCCATATATGGTTTTTTGGTTTTACTACACCTAAGACGGATGTTCGAAACGGCCTATCTTCCTTTTCCTTTGCCCGGATGTATTTTCCCTCTCATACCGGCCATTATGGGTGCTTCTTTAATAGTAACACTCTATATATCCCTTACTTAGTTTTTTTTTCTTCGTTACGAAACGATTTAATTGTGTCTTTTTTGTTAGGTATTTGGCTATAATGATAGACCTATCATTCCTACAACAGCTCCTTCGACTTCCACAGCTCCCACATATCCTTCGACTTCTACAGCACCGGTAGGTTATTTATCTTAATTATTTGATTATTTATCTTAATTATTATGTGCTAATTATTTATTTCTGTTGCAGGAATCGGAACAGAAATGGCATTCGGATTCAGAAGAAGAAGAAGCGTATAAAGAAAAAATCCCATAGGGAAGGTTAAATTGACAAAGGTCTGACGGAGGATAGTCCACCGCAAGGCATTAGCCATATATACTTTATGTTGAAATCTACAAGACATTAGTCATGTAAATTATACTGCAAGGCATTAGCCATATATACTTTATGTTGAAATCTACAAGACATTAGTCATGTAGTCCCTTTTTATTAATTATACTGCAAGGCATTAGCCATATATACTTTATGTTGAAATCTACAAGACATTAGTCATGTAGTCCCTTTTTATTTTAATACTGCAAGGCATTAGCCATATATACTTTATGTTACGTTGTTGAAATCTACAAGACATTAGCCATAAACTATATATGGCTAATGCCTTGCAGTATTAATAAAAAGGGACTACATGACTAATGTCTTGTAGTATTCAAGAACGTAACATAAACTATATATGGCTAATGCCTTGCAGTATTAATAAAAGGGACTATCCTCCGTCAGACCTTTGTCAATTTAACCTTCCCTATAATATGTGTTGTTTTCGCCCTTCTTCGTCCCGATTCCAATTTTTATTTGAATTCACATTCAAATTCAAAATCCGGTTCTATGTTAGGATCTGTAGAAGTCGAAGGATATGTGGAAGTTGTAGGAGTTGTAAAAGTCGAAGGATCTGTGCGAGGTTTAGAAGTTGTTATAGCCAAATACCTAACAAAGACACAAATAATCGTTTCTTATCAGAATTAACATAAATATAGTAACAAAAAAATTAACTAGGGATAGAATCGAATTAACATAAATATAGTAACAAAAAAACTAACTAGGGATACACACTATATAATTAATCCAACGAAGACTAAAAATCAAAAAATTTAAAGTGTAGTTATTGGATCGCTTTTCTTCGGCTTCTAAGGTTGATGGGGAAAATACTTTTGTTAAAAATGCATATTATTACTAAGTAATTCAATATCCTATAATTATTAAAGAAAAAATTACATAAATTGATACATTTTAATAAATAATTACAGATTTTAGCTATATTTTGTATTTATTATCATTTATAGCAATATTATGTTAAATCTACTATATGTATTAAAATTGAATTATGTATGCAATTTATATGAATTATAATTGTTTTTTAAAATATATTATATTTGTTTGGTAAAAATTTGACATATTGTATTATAAGTGTATTAAAAAAATGTTTGATAAATGTATTAACTATCATTAAAACTTGTATTATATATAAATGATAAATTGTTCTTTGTAATATGTATTATAAATGAATTAAAAGTGACTAAATGAAAGAAAAAATTATTGTTATAAATGGTAAGTATTTTTTATTATTAGTATATTTATGTAAATTTCTAATTATTAAACTCCACAGCTCATGCATACAATAATTCAAATACATATACCACTAAATAATTAAAATATTAATATTGTTGTCACAATTTAGTAATTAACTAATTTTATTTTGATTTAGTGAAGGGGTATAACCCCTAATTTACATATATAGAGGGGGGAGGGTTAAAGTGTAGTTGAACTTCATATTCGACCACCAGAACGGTGTATATATATATATATCGAATTTCTTAATATACTTTTAAATATAAATCACAAGTAAAATATAAAACACAATACTTAAAAGTATATCAATTATAGATATCTAAACATAAGAAAATAAATAAATCACAATGAAAATAAACTAAAAAGGAAAAAAGTGGTAAACTCCAACTTATATATATATATATATATATATATATATATATATATATATATATTATT